TGCCTTTCTGTTTGAGAGCATCGACTTCACCCACCTAGTGGTCGTGAGATCAACATTTTTAGATGTCAAGCCACCAACCACGTGGTAGAGCCATGCTGCAACTATATTAATAGTATAGTTGTAGCACGAATGGGTGGTCTCGAACTGGGAAGGACCACGCTCTCACAGAATGCCAGCGTAAAATAGCAGCTTCATACTGCTGTGTTTCGTATGGTGGGTGTAGAGAACCGGAGACCTTTTTAACTGGAAAAGAGGCATTCTATCTTAGTCCTCACGGCTGACAACGCATCTGCATTTTAATTCGCAAACGAAGATTGATGTAGATGTCTATGACCCAATCTACTACAGCAACTACTTACCTTCAGGTGGACTGTGCCCTCGTTTGTTACTTTTATTCTGTTAAAAAACCAAAATTTTTGATACGAAAAACTTATCTGGAAATGCGCTCTGCCTAAATTACTTAATAATTGTAAATTAAATTATTATAGACAATAAATATTCATATTGTATTCTTATAAACATTTATAATGTTATAAATAGTTAGTCAACATAGAAAATATTATTTTATGAGCACAGTGAAAGAAACATGATATGACGAAAAAAGAAATTAAATTACTTTGCTACATGTTATATGAAAGTCTATTTGATTTGAAGTTCAAATTCTACATTAAACTCGGTGCACCTGCTTTGAAAAAAAAAATTAAGTATACTAAATAATTATGAAACGAATAAAAGTAATTTTCAAATCTTTACATTTTTGTCAAATAAGAAAAGTATACATTATAACAATACAGTAAAAATAACAGTTGTTATTTCGTTTATTAGGCGCTTAAAAAAGGCATGTTGACTAGCTTCAATAGTTAACGACAAAAGAAAACTAAAATTTATTGAAATTATAATTAAATATATAGTGTATATAGTGGATAAATTTTATTTAAACTTAGCAGTGTTATTTACATACATAATTATATTCAAAGTTATTAAATAATATGATAAGATTAGTATAATAAATCATAATTTTGACATTATTTAATTTGTATGAAATATTTTAAATTTGATTGTACGAGTAAGTATTATTAAAAATATTATATTTTGACTTTATATAACTTCAAGATATTTAGTACGACAGCAATTAGCCCTATGGACTTTACTCAACTATTGAAACTATTTTCTTCATATTTTTCTTTTGATTTAAAGGCACCTTATTTAATTAGTAATGCATAGCCCAATATTGTATTTGCACACCTAATAAGGTAATAATACAGTGTACATATTCCAATTTTCTGTAACAACTTTTATACCTGTATTATGCAAATAAATGAATTTGATTTGATTTGATTTGATGATTTGATGCAATGAGTCACGTGAATATAGTGTGACTTAGCTTTGAGATATTTCATTCCTACTAACGTTTATAATTTTCTAACGGATTCTGGCCTAGGCTTTGTTTGCGTAGATTTCGCTCTCCCAACATAATTATTATTCAATTTCGAAATTCACACTTTAGGTTTATTTTCTTATTATCGTTGTTTATCGGAGTGTTCGCCTCTTACACAACGATCAACTCAAACACAATTTCACATAGATGACTGAATTTTAGCAAAGTGATAATATGGAGTTATTCATATACGAACTTTCTTTCAAATCATTGAACTATGTATGAATAAGTAGAATTGGATTCTACAGATATCTAAACATGGAAATAGTTCGAAAATTGGATTCTTATATATTGCATCTATTACAAAAATATGCAAATTAAGTTTTATTCATCAATTGACTCTAATCCCATTCATAACGTAGTGGCTGAACTCGTAATCGCGGCATTGCGGAATCTAAAATAAAACAAGTGCTTGTGTGGCCTGAGATAATTGCTCCGGGTCTGATCGTTGGTACAAAATAAAAACTGTGTCAATCTAATAATAAATTTCAAATTATTATAATAACATTTAATATCCATAATTGGTTCAGGCAATATGATGGTTTAGGGTATTGATAGCCATTATTTTCCACATTAACACGTTATTTGGCTACTGTAATGTTTCTATACAAATTGCAACTTAGTGATATCTTAGTATGAGTCCAATTTTGAATTAACAACATCTTTTTAGTGATAAAAATAATGAAAATGAAGTTGAACCCATCATTGATAAAGATTATCATAAAGCTCTTGATTTTGTTGATTATTTCGTAATAATGTTTTTAAAAGCATCTACACTATACAGTGTGCGTTTTTGGCCTAATTTATATAGCTACCTAAATGCCGATTTATATATTAAGAGTAATATGACAGTATTCGACCTTGATGTGACCGAAATTAAAATTAAAATTACTACTAAAGACACCTTCAGCTCCGCATATATTAACGATTATATTATATTATCAAGTGTTGAAGTTTTATTTGAAGATAATTCTGAGTTTGACAAAATTAATATTTCAAAGATTACAAAGAACCCCGATCATTAATGATAATTAAAGTGAAGTACCTACAAAAAAAATTCCGATCGATTAAAACTAATCCACAACAAAATCAAGATTTGTTGTAAAATTGTTATGATTAATGCCCCGTCTCTGAAATTCCCAGTTATATTCCTATTAGCTATTGATTCATTAAAGTTATCAATAGGTTAAACCACTGGTAGCTGTCACTGTGTTTCTGAATACGCAACGAATCGTTCAAAAACTATGATACCGATAGCAAGCTCCATAATCTGCTCCGCCTGTCTGTCTGTCTCTTCACGAGATCGAGTTAAAATTGATTTTATTATTTAAATTCTTCAATAATACTAGTTTTATTTATAATAATATATTTTTCGAGTCAAAATAAGTGAATAAGGATTGTTATTAGTAACAAATTATGATAATCCCATATTTTTATCAGCGACGGTCTATCAGCGGAACGACATCATTGCATCATTCTAAAGTAAAGAAGGAAAGGGTCGCTCTTTTTTTGTCGCTCCTTTGCATGTATTATGTTTTACCGTATTTTTTTGTTTTTAAGTTTAGTGGTCTTTGCCATCGTTTGCGCCTTATCCTTATATTATCTAGCAAATATCCTTTCTGTTATAAATTGGCAATAAAGTTAATGTCGTTACCTTTAAAAGTACCTGTATTTATATCATAATGCTATTTATTACGTTTATGTATAAGGGTATTTATAATAATAATAATAAAATTAACTCCAGTACTTCCAAATCAGACTCATATTCGTTATATTTACATATGATTAAATACTTTATATGTTTATCTCTTGAATATTTTAATATTTAGCGTTCACTGGCTATTTCTTATAATAATATCACGTTATAAACTAAAAGTTGATGGAGTTTGCTAGAAATAAAACGTGAAATAAAGTTATTGAACCAATTAACGGCACAGATTGGTCAGTTAACTTAACCTAAGTTTAAATGGAGTTTATCTTACATTTCGATATTCGGAAACGCACTTTCTTGAGTTATCGAACCAATAGCGTTAACGAATAGATAAGCTGCCGATAAAAGTATCTCAGAAACCGAGCATGAATCAGACATGTTAACAATAGCTAAATTTAAAGATAAAAGATACCTCTCTTTAAAAAATAGCTAAATTTGAAGATAAAAGAGAGGTAACTCAAAATCCGATAACAGAGAAGCTTGGTTACAATTATGGGCAGGAAAATCATTTGTACTTTCTGAGAGGGGAAATTATTATCATTTTTTCTCATATAAGATGTATGATCTTTATATTTAAAATGCGTTTCGGGACTGATTTGTTTATTTTACTTAAATTTTTATATACACACGTGGTATTGAGACGGGATTAATGCCTGAGGAATTCTCTTACTTATCAGGAACTTCGTGTATATTTAGGCATAGTATATATCCAAAATTAAAATAAAAACGGTCCGTTGCGTATGTAAGCAACTGTTATATATGTAACTTTGTATATAAATTGGTTGTGATTAGTCGATGTATGCAATGGTTCAAGAACGTGTTGTAGGCAATCCTTGGTGTGTCCCTGTGTTCCGTTTGTGTACTTTTTATAAAAAGTTAAAAATATTTACTAATATAGCATTCCCCATTTTCACTAAGCTAGTCACCGCTAGACATAGAAAAATTATAATATATAAGGACAAAATTCCTTGCGATTAAATCGCAAACTACATACTTATAGTTTTACAGTCTTAATTTGAATTTTCTATTATTCATTGCTCACTAATCATTAGGAGACATCGTTTCTAGAGTCTAGCAGACATGTCTGTTATTGTAAATTACTTGATAGAAATTACCCAATAACTGATTTTTGACCTACGCGGGAATCAACAGTCGCGCATAACCACCAGACTAATGAGATAGTCGTACTAGTACTTTCGTTAACTGTAACGTAACGTCTCTATATATTGAAAAATATATTATTGTGTTGATAATTTCAATGACATTAAAACGAACGATTATAATTTAATATTATTTTTAATGTAATACCTATCATATTTTAAATAAACTATATTATAATTTATGCATAAAATAAACAGTTTATATCTTTTAAATTTTTACTTACTTTATAATATAATATTTTTCCTTTTACTTACGTTGATGCCTCGGTTGTTTTCGTTACTTCTCTTACCTCTTATTAATCCGTACATGGTCTATCGCAATATAAAACGTGAGCACACGTCTTGAATTACCCATTATCTTCAAATTGTGTACAAATGTATTTATCAAAGTCGGTTTCGCCGTGAACTTTCAAGGCGAGGTTAATCTTTCGCAGATAGACGTTTGTTATGATTTCAATGTAATTTGTAAATTAACTTTTATATAATGAATATAAGGTATGCTATGAATGCAATTATAATTTGGTTTTACAAAAAAGCTGAGGTAATTGCAATTAAAATTCCTACGGCATCTAAAATAATAATTTTGTGAGTTTAAATAAGCCTTTAATAAAAACGTACACAAATCCTTTGAATTTAATTATACAATACATGCATTTGCTTTTGGATAGAGACTCGGTGTAGACAAGTAATCATGTATGTAAAGCACTTCATACTAGTTTTAGTTGTGTTTAGATTAGTGGAAATTAAAAGTGAATGCAATAATTATTTTAAGTGTTTGAGTGCATTTCTAAAGTACTTTATTGATGACAATCAAAAATATGATATAACCATTAACATTAACAATCAGAATAAAACTTTGCAAATTACATTGAAAAATTTAGATAAATTTATTAAGCATGTAATTGATTTATTGAATGTCAACATCGAAGATCACGAGGAAACCTTAAATAACTCTGAAACAATCGAACACATAGACAAAAAGACAACGACTTATGTGAAAAGCATCTCAAAGGATAAAACTAACAAAATCAGTAATATCGAATCCAGCAATCTTATTGGAACATATATAAGCAACAAAAATACGATGAATATGACAGCAAAAATAAAAAACATCACTAAACATGAAATTAATATTTTTCATAGTAAATCTGAAGATCTTGAAGAATTTGTCGAATATTATGATTTTACAGACGACAACACTACCGATTATCCTATAATTGACTATATAGACCTATATAAAGACACAACAAATGAATTAGTCCAAGTTTTTAAAGCAAATTACTCAAATATTGAAAACAGATCTGACAGCATTAACTACGTAACAGAAATTAGTTTAAGTGATATGCAAGAAGAAGAAAAGCATGTGCATGAAAATTCAACTTCAAATGTAAGTAAATAATGGTTAATATACATTATGACTTAGTTTTTTTTTCAACTGTTAAAATAATCGTTAAACTAATAATTTTATGTACTTGTGTACTTTAAGGCTTTGTAAAAGCTCAAGAACTCAGGAATCAGCGCACATTTATTCCTTAATACCTACAGCTTATTTTATATGACATGTATTAAAAGATTTAAATTAACACGATTTACTAAAATTACGGGTAGAAAATAATAATATCATATGATATGGTTCTATTATTGCAAAGATTCGTGCTACAATTAGTTTCAATAGTATTTACTACTTTAATGTCGTTCAAAACATGGGTCAACTCGAATGTTCTTGTTTGTGAAGATCTCAGTTCTCGAATAATTTTCGGTATTACCTTGAGATTTAACGCTAATTTAAACACATCTTAGTCCTACTGAACTAGTGAAGGACCACGTCTCAGATTCATAAGTTATCACTGGCAACACGCACTTTTTTTTTTTTTTTTTTTATAGGATAAGGGTGACAAACGAGCACACAGTCCACCTGATGGTAAGTGGTTGCTGCGGCCCATAGACATCTACATCTATCCTCTATTACAAATCAAAATGTAGATGCGTTGTCAGCCGTGAGGACTAAGATGGAATGCCTCATTTCCAGTAAAAAGGGCCTCCGGCCACCTGCACTCACCAAGCGAAACGCAGAGGTAAACCTCTACTTCACGCTGGTTTTCTGTGAGGTCGTGGTACCACCCCGGTTCGAGCCGGCCCATCCGTGCGATAGCAAAAGCTGTCGCGTGGATCCGACTTACCTAGTCGGACTATTTGTCCGACTAGGTAAGTTCAACATCTTGGAGCTTAGTGCTCCCAACAACTACCGGCATAGGTGTGACATGGACATCTTTGTTTTGTCCATGTGCATCTTAAGACCTATCTGTTGAAAGACACTATTGAGGTCATTGAGCATAGTGCTTAGGTCCTCCAGCAGTCACCTTCGATTTGCAGACTATATCGTCGGCAAATCGAAGGTGAGTGATTTACTTGTCATTGATGTTGATAACGTATGCTTTCCAGTGCAGTACATTGAAAATTTCTTGCAATGCAGCGGTGAAGAGTTTCGGGGATATAACAATCACCCTGTCTTACACCTCTCAATAATTTTTATAGGTTTCGTATTATTTCATAGGTTTTCATGTAGCACCGCCCAAATTTCGACAAAATCAAAGGCTTTATTTTAGTCTACATACGCAAAACAAAGTGGAAGATTGTACTTGTATTGAACATTAGAAGATTGTGGTATGTATGTGTTCTAGGGTACTAAAGCCTTTTCGGAAACTGGCTCGTTCGGAAGGCTGGAAGTCGTCAAGTCTGCGTGCGAGACGATTCGTAATGTCTCTCGAACAGCACGTAGATGCGGCTTAAAAGGGAAATCGGTATGTAATTTTTCAAGAGAGCGTTGTCGCCTTTCTTGAAGAACAAGACCACTGTGCTTCTGCTCCACCTCTCCAGAGTAGTGTCACGATGGAGGACGGAATTAAAGAGCTGCTGACGAACTTCAAGTACCGGTTTTCCACCCGCTTCCAGAAGCATCGCTGTAATTTAAAAAAATTCCATCCTCGCTTGGAGCATTGCCATTTTTAAGGTGCTGGTGAGTCATTCTAATCTCGCTCAGACTGACGCCCGGGATATCATCAGAAGAGTGTCTAATAAGACTTGCTCTTTGATCGTTACTTACACTTGCGTGTGGCACCAATAATGATGTGTACAGCTGCCCATAGAACCTCTCAATGTAACTCAAAATAACAGGTATGCCGAAAGCGATGCTGCCACACACGGTCTTCAACTTTGACAGTTAGCTCTTTCTCGCAGACAGATCTCTAGCAAAGACTTTGAAACCTTGCCTTCTTTAATACAAGCTGTATTTAAGTTGCGTGAGTCCTGCCGCTAGCTTTTGGAGATCTGTCTATTCAGTTGCCTGTATGCTGTCAAATCTGTTGAAGACAAAAGCCTCATTTTCTATCTAACAGCTATGAGATTAAGAATGTGATCGGAGAGTTTCCACGAGCTTGTTATTCACATCGTCCACTACATTGCAGTCTTCTAGGCACTTAAAACGGTTTCGGCACGAAAACTGTTTAACAGTGCGGTTACTAAATCTGTAGAAAAGTCGTGTCTGTAATATTATAATTTTTAAATAAAAATAAGTATATAATAAATAATGCAGTTAAGGACATATTTCTTTAAATCCATTTTTTTGTGTAATAAAGTTTAACATTAAACCACAAGATACGCCGACAATCTAAATTGTACGTTTTTTAAACAGCGCAAAAATTAGAAGCCTTACATGCGTTGGAGTAGATAGAACTAATGTGAACAGATGTACTGTTCATTTTAGTTATATCCATAACATAAAATTGTATGGAATCTTGCTATGGGGTAGTGCGATCTCGAATCTTTGTTTTGCAGAAAAATAAATCTAGAAATTAATTACTAACTGTTGTGTTAACTTTACTACCTAATATGTGAACTTTGATCTTTCACTATAAATGCTTACGGAAATTTAATGTAGGTACACAAAAACAGAAACAGATGGAATTACATATCTCAAGGCTAAGTCATGTGATATTCACGTGACTTAAAGTTGATTTTATTAATGCTTATGATTTATCGTTAGGCCTAGTTCCGACGGCACGCACCCGCTGCGCGCACGCCACGATTTACACACGCGATTTATAAAAAGTACGGGTGTAGGGCGTAGAGCGGCGGGTGCAGAGCGTGTGCGGGGCGAGCGCGGGGCCTGCGCGGAACGGGAACTAGGCGGGCGCGTGGCGTGTGCGAGGCGTGTGCGGTTGAACGTCGATAAATGCAATTTCTGATTTAATGACTTGCCATAAGACTCAAATAATTATATGCAACAAATTTCAAAGCGATTTAGACGCGGGTGTTGACGCGCGTGGCGTGCGCGTAGCGGGTGCGTGTCGTCGAAACGCGGTCTTAAGATAAGTCGACGCGGCTTATGACTTGACGAAAAAAATAATCTATTTGAAAATGATTAATCTTTTTATAATAATTTAGGATATTTAAGTTTTTTTTCGAATCAGGTGAATTTCAGCCCGATTTTTCCCCTAATTAAGAAGATCGATCACAGATTGATCGCACCCTGTCATCATTTTCTATCATTTAGATTTTATAATAATTTAAAAATAATATCATTATACTATCAATCGGGATTATTATAATGTTAAACATTCAACTACCAATTAGCTCTTAAATGGGGAGGAGTTGAGTCTTGTGGATACCACGGTTTTTATTGGTATTACTATTGACGCGAAGCTTCTATGGGGCCCCATATATCTAAATTTGCAGGTAAACTTAGTTCTGCAGCATATGGTGTAAGAAATATTAAAAGTCTCACCAATGTTGAGACAGCGAGATTACTTTGTTTTAGCTACTTTTATAGCGTGATGTCTTATGGAATTTTGCTATGAAGTAATGCGATTGACATTAAAGCCATATTTGTTTTATAAAAGTGGGCCGTACGTGCGATTTTATAAATTAATTTTAAGAAGTCCCTTAGAGAAAATTTTAAAGAAATAAACATATTAACTTTGGCGTCGCAATATAATTATGCAAATGTAATAAATGTATATAAAAACATAAATAGCTTTGATAAGAATAAAAATGTTCATACTTGAAATACTAGGTACAAATATAAAATTGTAGTACCAGTTACTAGATTCCACAGTACTAGTAATTATGGGACAATGTATAAATTCCCAGAAAATGTACAAAATTTGTCTATAAACAAGTTTAAATGTCTTATTAAAGAAAAATTGTACAAAAAGGTTTATTATAATATCAAAGAATACATAAATTAAAATAACCCCTGGGAATGAGGTGATCGCCACAATGCTTGTTCAATTAAAATTAATTTAAAACATTGTACAAAATTATTTTAATTTTATTGTGAAGTGAAATATGTTTATAAAAATAAATCCCGTTATGTTTCCTGCCAGTCTTTCCCAGAACAGAGGTGTTTACCGAACCAGTGGTAAATAAAAAAATATTTCAATAAGTATTATGTAATACTTTATTTTGAATAAAAATAATTATTTTCTATTCTAATTTATAAACATTCTAGAGAAGTGAGAGCCGTGAGAGAAGATTGGAATTCTGTCAAAATATTCAAACAGATATAGCCCGCAATCCAAACTTCTTAAACTATGGTTGTGTGGTCTAATGAAGAAAAAAAAAGCAATAATGGAATGAAAATTTAAGCAATAATAGGGGTAATATAAATTATTAGCAGTAGTAGTAAGTGTAGTGAGATTTACGTTTAATGCTTCGTGTGTGATCAGGAGAAACATGGTTAAAATGTTGCCCGTGTTCAAGTGTCCCTTGAATACGAAAAGATAAATAGAAATATAAAATCTTCTACGAAATGAATTTAACTATTTGTCAGATGTGGAGGGAAATAATGTCATATAACAAGAAGATGGTGCTTTTGACTATAACAGTATAATATTATGCACTAAATAACTCAATAACAATTTCAAAGTCTGGATAAGTACAAACGAAACAATTAAATGGCCTTTAAGACCTCCAGATCGAGGTACTCTTATTATGGAGTTTTAAAATGATTAAAAAAATTTGACTTATAAAAATAAACAGTCTAGGTAAAGATGTTAGTTTGAGTCGACATGTATGAATAGTAAGATTTTATAGTCTCCTTTAATTGTAAGATACAATGTTTATTCTAAATATTTTATCCTTATCATATACTCTATCGATATATCAAATAAAATAGTCATTGACTATTTTTTGCATTTTTAGTTGGTTTGATTCCCGGCTCGGGAAAGCTTTCTAAAAATATTTGAATGTGGTTATTCTTATTTCGAAAAACAAAGGAATGAATGAGTGTTTCCTTTGAGTAAAATTTCATATATTCAATATTTAATATACTTTCCCTGCAGGTCTGGTTCATTTTTTCCATCCTCTATATTGGAATATTGACTTTGCATCA